GACCGCGCTGGACCAGGTAGGCTGTGGCAAAGGTGTGTGGTGGTGGCCTGTATGGGGTGGATGCCTTGCAAGGAGAGCTGGAACAGTGTGTTTCATAGCCAAAGGAGCCCTTCCAGTGGATGAAGAGGCAGTAGATAGTGGAGAAATAATAGAGCAGGTGGTGTCTCTATGCTAGTGGAAATGGCTCCCCTAGTTTGTGGCCATCTGACTCTCGGTGTGTCCCAGGGATGGAGCAGGGGAAGCATCTGCCCTCTCTTGGGAAGCAGCAGATGAAAAAGATGCTGCTGACTCTGGGGACTGGGTGGCCTGGGTAACCTTTTACAGGAGTCCCTGTGGAGCAGGCAGCCCTCTGGGGCTCCATGCCTGCACTGAGGGCTGCACTGCACCCTGCCTTTGCCCCTGCAGGGAATGCAGGGGGAGCACCGGCTCCTGGTTCGCTTCCAGGCCCTGGAGAAACGCTTTGAGGCCCTGGAGGCTGAGGTGTCGCGGTGGGAACTGCGACAGGGGGCAGCGGCAGTGACGGCGGGGGGAGAGCCACCCCCGGGGGACATCGTGGCACTGCTGGAGGGGCTGGTGAACCGCCGGGATGCGGGGCTGAAGGAGCATCTCCGTACGGATGTGACCAGCCACCTTCAGGTGAGGGGTGTGAGGGGCACATGGGGAGATGGAGGCATGCAGGGCTTGGCTCTCATGTTCTCCCCACCTGGTTCCTCTCACTGTAGGGTGAGCTGGATGCCCTCCGAGCCCAGGTGCAGAGGGATATGGATGGGCACCTGGGGAAGATGGCACAAGCCTCTAAGGTAAGGAGCATGAGTGTGTGGCAATAGCTGGGCAGGACATCCTCACCACTAGTGTCCCAGGTCTCACCCCTTCTCCTTCTCCTGGCAGGAGATGGAGACACGCTTGCTGGAGCTGAACTCGAAGTGGCAGAGGTAACATTGTGCCTCCACTATCTGGACAGAGCCACTGCTCTGTTGGGGCAGGCAGGCAGCGAGGTTCAGGAGGAGTTTCTAGGTCTTGTTTGCTCAGGGCAAGGGAGAGGTTGAGAGGTACCATCTTGAGGGAGAAAGGAGGGGTGGATACGTGGGTGTGCTGGCAAGAAAATCCACTGGGTGGCATCAGGGCTTAAAGGGCAATTGTAGCATATTACTTTCACCACAGTCATTTTGTATCACCATGGGGAACATGGCCTTTCAGCCAAGGGGTGAGCTGGGGATGCTTGCCCATGGGATGCCTCAGAAGTCATTGCCACAGGAATTAAAACCATTTGGGGCTGAAGATGGACTTGAGCTTAGGTGAGGAGGGGGATGAACCTCACTTGTTTGCAGAGGTGAGCTGGGACTGTCAGTGCAGGGTTTTTGTTGCCTTTCCCTCGGCACAGCTCGGTGCAGGAGGATCTGCGAGGGAGCTTCCAGCTGGAGGTGGGCAAGCTGGAGCAGGAGGTGGCAGCGCTGAGGAGGGAGCTGTCAAGCCTCAAGTCGGACCAGGAGGTGATGGGGAAGCACGTGGAAGGGATGCTAGAGCAGCTGAAGATGGTCCGGGCTGATGTGAGTGCCTGGTCCCTACCCTTTTTTGGCAGAGGGAGGTGTGAGGGTCCCTGCCTCGGGAACTGAGCTCTGTCCCCACTGTTTCAGGTGGAAGCACAGTTCCCAGCGTGGCTCAGTCAGTTCCTGTCGCGGTCCCGGAAGGACGGCACCACTGGCCTCATCCTCCAGCGGGAAGACTTGCAAGCGGAGCTCCAGGCCCTGGAGCGCAAGATCCTGGCCAAAGTCTCAGAAGACCAGAGGCTTTCGGCACAGGATGCTCAGGCTGGTATCGGAGTGGCCCTGCGGCAAGGAGGGACTGCAGGTGTGACAGAGGAGGTGAGTGCTGGTCTGAGCCCCAAGGGCATGATGGTGACCATAGGTGTGGGACTGGGGCCTGTGTGTGTGCAGGGGAGGCTGGCATGAGTGCCTGGCAGAGGTTGGAGCTCTGGGGACAGCCCTTAAAGCTGGGATGTAGATTCTGGGCTCGCATCCTACCTGGTTAGAGCATCACTGAAACTCCTCCAACCCTTCTCTGCCATCAGCCTCCCCTGGGCTGTGCCTGCACCCTGCCCTGGAAGGGGTCACAAGTGTTGATATCTACATGCCTGTGAGGCTCTTGGTCTCTTAAAATCCATGTTTCTGCTCATGCATCTTTTGCCCGGCAGGCAGAGCAGGTGCCAGTGAGGTTTCCATGGGTCGAGCGTCTTGCTTACTCCCGTCCTTCAGTAGTGCTGCTGAGTCATTTGGGGCAAAGCATTTCAGCAGAATGACACCAAGGGAAAAAATGAGTCTGCTTGTTTTGGAAAGAGTTGTTGGCAATTCCCTGTGGAGGGGAGGAATCAGGCTGGAATTAGCAGTCTGCACAATCTTTGTGCACACCGTAACCTCTAGACCAACGGTGGTGCTTCAAGGTCCCAACTCCGTCCATGGTCCCCCCGCCCATCCAGAAGGATGCTCTGACCAGCTCTCCCTTTTCTGGATGTGGAGAGCTGCCATTCATTCTGCAGGATGGGACAGGGAGGAATTGTCAAGTGACGCTGGGGAGGACTGGGTGGGCTGTGTCTGGTACCCACTGAGAGTAACCCCTCCTCCCCTAGGGCCAGTCCCTCTTTTGGGATGGGCATGGGTGAGCCCAGCATGCCCCTTCATTGCACAGTTCCTCTGGACTGGGGTATTTTTAGCAACCTTTAATGAGGCTTCTGAGCCAAACTTGTGTCGTCTCATTTTTGCCGTGGTGATTCATCTCTCATGCCCTCTGCTCCCGCTGCAGCAAGTTCATCACATCGTGGGCAAGGCCCTGAAGCTCTACAGTGAGGACCGCGTGGGGATGGTTGACTATGCCCTGGAGTCAGCAGGTAGGCGGTGTGAGGGGGTTCTCGCTTACCTGGGATGAGCCAGCCCTCCTGGGGAGGGGGGACCAAGGGATTCTGGTCTGCAGCTCACCTGCTGCCATCCCCTCTCTGTATAAGGGGCCAGTGTCATCAACACCCGCTGCTCAGAGACCTACGAGATACGGACAGCGCTGCTGAGCTTGTTTGGCATCCCCCTGTGGTACCAATCGCAGTCGCCCCGTGTCATCCTGCAGGTGAGAACCCTTGGGGCGAGACCCTGCTGAGGAAGGGGGAAGGACTGGAAAAAAAACCCAAACAGCTGAGCTGGTTTTCCTGGGGGCTTAATGGGTTTTATTGGGCTCTCGCTGTCACTCAAAGCAAGCAGCCTGGTTGATGTTGGGTTGAGGAAAATGTCACCGATGATAACTTTATTGGTGTCTTACTTTCCCTCTTGTAGCCAGACGTCAACCCTGGGAACTGCTGGGCGTTTCGTGGGTCTCAGGGCTTTGCCATCATCCGCCTCTCCAGCATCATCCGCCCCACGGCTGTGACACTGGAGCACATCCCAAAAGCCCTCTCGCCCCAGGGGACCATCCCTAGTGCCCCCAAGGACTTTGCTGTCTATGTGAGTGCCATCATCTAGACCTGAGGGAGGAGGAGAGGACATGCTGAGCGGGTGCCATGGTGGAAGCTAGTGGAGGGGGAGGGCTAACGAGCCCCATACCTGGCTGTGGGGCGCTCTGCGGGGTTGCTTTTATACTGCAGAGGAGGAAGAAGCAGTACTGGGGAGCAGAGAGGGAGCACTGGGCTTTAGGAGTGCTTTGGGGCAGCACTAGGAGGGTGGGAGTTTAGTAGGTGTAACTTTGTCTTCCCCCACATCTCTGCACACTGGCTCCTCTCTCTATGTGTCTATTTTGGCCTGGAAGAGCAGGGGCAAGGGCCAAGCATGCTTGCCACTCTCTGTCTCCCTGTTCCACCACGGGTGCACTCATCACTTCTGGTGACCCTCTCTGATCACCCTCTTTTCTCCCTTTGTGCCTCCCTACCTGCTGTGTAGGGCTTGAAGGAGGAGAAAGAGGAGGAAGGTCTTCTCCTTGGGCAGTTCACCTACAACCACGATGGCGACCCCATCCAAACATTTTACTTGAAGGTAGGTGCTTTGCCCTGGGAGTATGTGGCCCCCAAAAGAAAATGGGGGTCCTGGGGTTTCTAAACCTTTGAGAGCTCTTAAGGGCTCAGGCTTTTTCTTCCCCCTCTCCCCAAGGGTGGTGCTGTGGGCACATACCAGCTGGTGGAGCTCCGCGTGCTGAGCAATTGGGGCCACCCTGAATACACCTGCATCTACCGCTTCCGTGTGCACGGGGAACCAGCGCACTGACCCCCCGGCTCCTGCGCGGGACGAGGATGCTGCCGGGTGACAGCAGGAGGGGATCCGTCTGGTTCACTGTTTCGCACGTAGAAATCCTAGGATGTGCCAGCAGCCATCCCAGGGAGCTGCTCCCCTCAGGGGGACAAGAAGAGCTGGTGTTTAAGGGGTGAGGCTTTTACTCTTCCAAGGACTGGAGTGGCGAGGCAAGAGCATCCCACACGGGTCCTAGCGCAGCCTGGCTTGTTTTCAGTGCGTACGGGACACTTCAACTTTTTAAGCTAATTTTTTATCGGGTCTGCGCAGCCCCCCCAACCCGTCCCTGTTGCCCTGCTTCTTTCTGATGGCGTGCCTAGCGTTGCTGGGGCTTGGGAAAGTGGTAATGTAATTTTGCGATGTGCTTCACGCAGGCTTGGGCGTGATACAGTGTCTGGGACTGTGGTGATGGGCTCGGTGCTGCTGGAGTAGGTGGGAGCCACCGGTCACAGCCACCGAGTCTCTTTTCTCCATGTGAGGTCATTTCTTCTGCATTGGAGTTGGTTTAGGTAAAGATCTCCAGACTCTGGGCTGGTAAAGGGGAAATAAGACAGTATTAATGAAGTATTAACATGAAACTAATGGTTTGGGGAAGCAGAAGGGGAGAAATTTGGCATGCATTGGTGGTGGAGTCCACCTTGGTGCTGCCATCCGTCCGCTTGGGCCCTCCTGCTGCTGGTGGCTGTGTTGGGTCTTGGCGATGCTGTTGGCTCCCTGGTATTAAGCTTGATGATTCTGTTGAAAACTCCTGTTGCCTGCTTCCCCTTTTTGGGTTTGTTCTGTGTTGTTTTTGTTTAGTTTTTTTGTTTGTTTTTTTTAAGGGAGTGGGGAGGGGAGTTATTTGTCTAGGTGGGGTGTTGGGGAATTTTTTTTTTTCCTAGTAACAAAGGAAAACACTTTTTCCATGCGACTTCTGCTTAACCAGAGAATGTTACATGGTTCTGCTTGGGCAAGTGACTTAGGTGTGGAGACGGCTAGAGCTTTGTTTAGTAGGAGAATAGCACATGCAGTAGGATAAGCTAGAATAAGATGAGCAGAGTCATTTAAAATATGGGCCTCAAGTTGTCGTTGGCTTGGTGGCTGGACCTGGGGAGACAAGGTCCTCCGTGGACTGCTGCTGGGTGGGGTGCTGAAGGCTCTCCTGCCCTCCTTGCCCTGGAGATGTCCTCCGAGACTGCAACATGTGGCCAGGGCTGGTAAACCCTGGCTGCATCTGTATATAGGCAGCTGTTTGCAGAGAGTGGGACCTGCCGCCCTTGTGGTCTGCATGGCTCTCTCCTTGCTTTCGTGGTCTCTTGGGTAAGAGACACGGTGGAGGGGAGATCTCATCCCCCAGGGCTTGCAGGTGCCAGCATGCTTCTTCTCTTTGGGGACTGTGGTGCTCGGAGTTGTCTCTGTCACCTCCTGGTCCCCAGCGGCAGATGGCTGCTGTGGGCTGACCTCCTTTTTCCTGGAAGGACTCCCTTTCCCTCCTGCCTTCTCTTCCTTGGCATCGCTCAGCTCCCCCAGCCCTAGCTGCAGGGGACTGTGCCAGAGCAGGATGGGGAGTCCTGTCTGCAGCGGGTGTGTAAATCCTGCCTGTACTCATTCCCTGGAGGAGGGGGGAGCCATGGCAGGGGGCTGCAGGAAGGGTGTGTGGGGACCCTCCCCAGGCCGAGCAGTGCTGGGGCCATCTGGCTGCTCCACCTCCCGGCTGCCTGCAGCACGCTTAGTTTGGCTTATGTTCCGGGGCGGTGTTTACAGCCTCCGCACTTGTCTTGTGTTTTGTTGAAAGAAAAGCTGAAGTGCTCGGTGTTAGCGTTTCAGCCCTATCTGATGCTGGCATCACCTTCCCCCGGCACTGCGAGTGCTGGGGGAGTGTCACAGATTGAGTCCTGCGCTGGTCTTCTCTGCTTGGAGGTGCTGTAGGCTGAGGGGTGTAGAGGAGGAGAAGGGGCTGAAGAGGTTTCTCCCTTCAGCATGCCCTGATGTGCTGACCCCTGCACCCTTCTCTGCCAGCCTTGGGGGGCTGAGGGCAACAGTGGCACATCCCTTCTGGTGGGGTCTTCTTTCTCCAAGCAAGGCAAGTGAGCCCAAAGGGCACAGCCCCATCTCCAATGTTAGAATTACCCCGTTGGAGCTCCCTGCGGAGCTGGGAGGCCCTGCTGCTATGAGAAAGCAGACCCGCAGCCAGATCCAGTGATGATACATTCTCTCCTATATTGAGTGTAGTCTTAATTCCTGGCATCCGCAGCCAAAGTTATTTTAAACTTGTCTACAGCTGCCTGTTTGCCTTGGAGTCATGTCCATGAGCGCCCTGTGCACATGCAGTTGTGCTTTTATGAATGTCTGGACCTGTCCTGGCCTCAGCAGAGCAGCTCCACGATTTAATTGAATGATAAAGAGGGAGCAGTGATGAAGCTCTCCCCTTTCCCCAGGGGTTCCCTGACTGCTGGAGCAGATGCCATAACCATGAGGCTGGAAAACCCCTTTCCTTATGTCCCTTCTGGCTCCCTGGACTCTGGGTTGGGCTGTCAGAGTCTCTTTGCCCAAGAAAAAAATGATTTTGTGGTAAATCAGGCATGCTGGTGAGAGGTGGGAAAGAGGGACCTCTTCCCCTGAAAATGGAGTTGGAGTGGGACCTCTACTCCTTCCAGGGGGGTTGCTGACCTCTGGCCATGGGGTAGGGAGCACTTAGCTTTACAGGGCAAGCTTGCCCTGTCTTTTTGGAGATGAAAGTCTCTGGTTTTTTGAGGTAAAACCCGCTGGAGACACCAGCGAGAGGTCACCGTGTGCGTTTATGCTCTTCTTCCCTGGGGGCTAATGCTGGTTTTGGAGGCCTCCCCATGCCAACCTAGGGGCATGCTGAGGTTATGTGTGGTTTTTCAGCCCTCAAATTCTTGGGGCTGCATCCTGAGCACCTCTCCCCAGTGCCTGAGCAGCTGCCTCTCTGCAGTAGCAGCTCCCAGCATTTCTTCACTGATTTCCTCAGCTGCAGAAGAAAAGAGGGCACATAAAACTGCTGCTTCAGCATGGTGCATCTCAGCCCAGGGGGTATTTAATCCTGGTGCTGATGCAGCAGATGAGCCTGGTGAAGCAGGAGAAATGTGAAACAGCTGTGGGAGCAGATTTTCCGTATTTACTCGTTTCCCTCCTCTATTCTCCCTCCTCAGTTTGCCCTACACACGTGTTCCGAATTAGCCCTGCAGAAACAGATGGTTACAGGCAGGAGAGGGGTTTGTATTTGATGCTGTAGCCTGTTGCAAATGCTGCACTGTTTTTGTTCATTGTATTTTTTAATCAACAGATTGTAATTTATGCCTATGCAAAGAAAAAAAAATGACCAAGACAAATAAAATACCAAACCTGCTCTGAGTGTTTTGGGTGTTTTGCAGGTGAGTTTGCTGGTGGGAATGTTCCACAGCCACTGAACAGACAAAGCTATTCTTGTACGTCCTCTTGTATGTATTCTCATAGCAAATCCTGATTTTTCCAGCCTGACCTACAACCTCTAGAGTCAGTCATCAGTTTTCACCTTGCCAGTGAGCAGGCTCAGGGATGCAAAAACTGCTTGAGGTAGGGATGAAAACAGGACTTTACTCTTAGAAAAATATTAGAAAAAACTTTTTCACTGTGAGGGTGACAGAGCACTGGAACAGGCTGCCCAGGGATGTTGTGGAGTCTCCTTCTTTGGAGACATTTGGAACCTGCCTGGATGCGTTCCTGTGCGATCAACTGTAGGTGATCCTGCTCTGGTGGGGGGGCTGGGCTAGATGATCTTTTGAGGTCCCTTCCAACCCTCAACATTCTGTGATTCTGTGAAATTCCAGTTCCTTGGGCCTTTGACTTCTGGTAGTCCAAGTCTGTGACAGGCCATCCCTGGGCATCAGTTCGTCCTGAGCAGAGCCTGGCTTGGTCCCGAGGAGAGGCAAATGAGGCTGGGGCAGCAAGGAGAGCAAGGACAAAGCCTGACACAAGCTATAATTAAGGGTAGATGCAGGTTGCTCTCTTTTCCTTAACACAGGCTCTAACTTACTCAGGAGGCACCTCAGAGCAAGCAGAAAGGAACTAGTTAATTGTCCTCAGCATGAGAAAGTTAACCTACAGCATGCTGATGTCTTTGTAACCAGCATGGGCTAGAGCCAGCCAGGTGTTGAGGAGCACCTATACAGTCACTCTAGGGAAAGGCTTGTTTTCTGCTGTCTCTAGAGGCAGGATGGGCACATCCAAGTCCCAGCTCGGGGAGGGACACAGAAGAATGGGAAGGGGGACAGACAGAGAAACTCACAGACACCACTGGGAAGGAATGGAATAGTGGGTGCTCAGGACCAAGGGCTCAAGTACAGAACATGCTCCAACAGATCTATGTCCCTCTTATGGTGGGGACCCCAGAACTGAACGCAGTATTAGAGGTGGGGTCTCACAAGAGCAGAGTATAGGGGGAGAATCACCTCTCTTGACCTGCTGGCTACACTTCTCTTGATACATCCCAGGACGCGGTTGGCCTTCTGGGCTGCATGAGCGCACTGCCGGCTCATGTTGAGCTTCTCATCTATCAACACCCTCAAGTCCTTCTCTTCAGGGCTACTTTCAACCCACTCTGTGCCCAGTTTATAGTTGTGCCTGGGATTAGCCCAGCCCAGGTGCAGGACCTTGCATTTTGACTTGCTGAAGCTCATGCAGTTTGCACTGGCCCATTTCTCAAGCCTGTCAAGGTCCCTCTGGATGGCATCTCTTCCCTCAAGTGAGTCCACGGCACCACACAGCTTGGTGTCGTTGGCAAACTTACTGAGGGTGCACTCAGTGCCGTTGTCCATGTCGCTGGCAAAGATGTTGAACAGCACTGGACCCAGAACAGACCCCTGAGGAACTCCACTTGTCACTGGTCTCCATGTGGACATCGAGCCACTGATGACAACTCTTTGAGTGTGACCTTCCAGCCAGTTCTTTATCCACCATGCACATAGACATCTTGCCCAGCACAGCTCACACCACACAGCACTCTCATTTCACCACTCTGCCACCAAGCAGCACTCTGAGGCAGAGTAGAAGCTGCAGAGGCTCAGGAGCAGCTCTCCCACAGCACGGTGTGCCCTGCCCTGCTGTCACTGCGAATGCAGCCTCCTCTTGTAGCCAGCAAGGAGCACGGTGCCAGGCAAACCTGCTCAGTCTGGCTTTTGGCATTGAAGGGGCAAGCGTTGTTTTTTCCAGAGGGACAACAAAAGCAACGAGACATACTTTAACTTTGGAACAAACTTTTTTTAAAATTTATTTTATAGATCACACCAGCCTGAGTGATCTTTGAATGCTGGTCACAAAAGAGAGATCACACCACCTCCTTTGCACGAACTGAAGTAAACCCTCTTCCAGTCTCGGCAGTCTCCTTCATTTGGAGCACAAGGAATGGACAAAGAGAAAACCGCCTGGAGATCCCTGCTCCTCTCAGAAGCAGAGGGCAGTGAAATCGGATGCAGTTGGAAGCTTCTACAGGGCCAGAAGATGAACCAACCCGGCCTTCATGCCCTGCTCAGCCACACCTCACACCCCCTCACAATGCGGGTGCTATTAGTGTTGTAGCCGCCTATGTTCCTCCCTTGCCAGGAGAGTGCTGGTACTTAGGCACAGAGCTTGGAAAGGACTGTCTGACCTCCCCCTGCCACCCACGCTCAGGCTACTGCAGTCTCTAAGGCAGAGTACCCTCGTCTCCGAACCATGTTGTCACCTCTCCCGTGCCACTTAATGCTCTTGGAGTGCTGGTGCTGGCCTTGGGAGATGTGCTCACACGTCTTGAGCCTGCTCTTGCTTGGTCAGCTCGAAAGCCAACCTTGAATCACAAGGTGAACTGGAATGAACTCCACACAGGTGCCACAGAGTGAGAAACAGGAATAACCCGCTAAGGAAGGACAGAAACTTTATAGTCTCCCTCTAATTAAAATAAAAGTCCTTCATTGGAGGAGGAAGCCCTCAAAGAAACCGAGGCTGACCGCACCTGCTGGGGAGAGCAACGATTTGCTGAGGATGCCACCTCCTCCCTCAAACTGCTACCACGCTCCCAACAGCTCACGACAAACCAGCGGAGGACAACTCCTGTCCTCACAGAAGCCAAGCAAAGAGGCAGGGTTAGAAGAAGAGAGATTGAAATAAACAGAGAAGTGATCACTTGCACAATCTTGGGTTAAAAAAAACCATAACAATAAAATTAATTGACTGTCCTTGCAAGGCCTTCCTGGAGAAACCAGAATTTGTCATTTAAAAAAATACAATTTTTTTTAAAAAAAAAAAAGTCAGAAAAATTACCATGTACTTCCAAACTTGAAAGCACTTCTCTCAGTTTGGTACCAATTCACAAATGCCCTCTTTGGCCAAGAGGGGAGAAGACAAATCCTGCCTCTGCTATGGCAAAGTCTGGCCAGTGAGTTCCACAAAAGAGCTGGGCAGTCTTGGAGTAAACAAAATCAAGGGGAGGTCATGTTTGCCTGGTGTCTCTGTTCCAAAGGTAGATTACCACTTGTGGTTACCTGTCTTTCGAGGTGAGAAGGCTTTCTCTGGCTCAAAGGACGGACCAAATGTTCCTGTGCTGTATTCTTAATACTGTCATCTGAACTGCCGCAGCCTTGAGAGACAGGTTAGATTTGCTCCAATGTGCACTGAACAAAACAGGAAAAGCAGCATGATGGGAAGAGGAACAGGACAGGCAGATGACTGCCTGTTGAATTCTGTCTCGAATTTAAATTGTAAGTGCTATCAACATATTTGAGAAGGATATTTAGTTTAGGATTCCTCAACTTCACATCAAAAACTGCTTTCCAATTTGTTTCCCTCTCGGATCTCCAACTAATGAACCATCACCTTCAAACTTCTGTCACTACAACATTAAATTAAACCCCCTTAGAAACAGCTTAAGGTGGAGGGAATCCAGAAACGTATTTGGCACGGGGCCACAGTGGTGAGGAAACAATGCCCTATGGAGCCATCCTACGCAACGTGTTTTAACCTTTGCAAGTCTGAAATTTCAGGTGTTTGATAACCCCTGGATCTGAGACAGCACATAGGAGGAGAGCAGCAAGTCCTGCAGACAGAATAGGGTGAGGGAGGAGGGAGGCAGCTAACTGGCTCTTCGCAGTTCTATCCAGACTCTCCTCTCATCTTCATGCACACAAAATATAATAAAAACTAATAAGAATAAAAACTAAGCCCATGATGTACAAAAATGTGTCAATAGGGGGGAGGAGGAAGGTGTCAGTTACTCAGTTCTGTGTGTCTCACCACCTTCATTAGCTTATAAATTATGGTCCTCTCCATCACTTCCTTCGGGGAGGAGGGACGATTCTTCTGCAGCCAATCAGCTGGGATGGGTTTTGGTTTAAGCTGCTCTGGATCTTTTGGATAAGAATGAAGGGAAGGGGAGGAATTCCTCAGAGGGAGGAGTAAGAAATTCAGCAGCCACTGGCAGGGGGCGCAAAA